CCCTCTGGTGGGAAAGACTTTAAAACAAAACTTACAACAGTTACTTTTCTCAACAACTGAAATTTAGAATAGTGTGATTAAGAAAAATATGTGAACTGTTTGCAATTTCAAATTAATATTGAAATGTACAGGTTTAGAATTTTCTACAGTGAAAAGTTTTCGGAACATCAGTATTCAAAAAAGTATACAAAAGCTAGACATTAAGAACGTATCCAATGAGCGAGCAAAGCGAGCATTGGATTGCGAAGCAATCCGAAATGAACTGAGAAAGCAGTTCCGGGGGTTGGTGAGCGCCAGCGAGCAGGGGGCGAAGCCTCCTAGTGGATAAGAATTTGTTAATCTTTAATTGCAGGCTTCAGAAACTTCATAATTACATTGGAAAAATCAAATAGTTTTCGATACTCTTCTTAAAATCGAAAACGCATTTTTTCCTAAAGCAAATTTGAACATTCGGAAAAATTTGGATCTGTATCAACACTTGTTATTGGGTCATATTTAAAATACAAGATATAATAATAAGTTCACAGTCGAGAAAAAATTAATGCAAGAAAGAAACTGGTTTTAAAATACAAAATATCAAAATTGATAAAAAATTACTAAAAAAGATTTAAAAAAAGCTAATATATATGACCAAAAAAGTATGAAAAATGCCTTATAAATAAAAAAAAGAAAAGAAATGCATATGTCATCGCAGGAATTCTCCATACGAATTCCGCGTCCAGTTCGCACCTACCACAGTGATGACGTAAAATTATCCTCAGTGGTAGATGGACAATAGGTTAGGGTCGCCATGCCGTCAAGCTAACCGTGAGAGGTCTTGGCGGTTTTTCTCTCCATGTAACGCAAATGCGGGTAAGTTCCATAAAAAAGTCGGCAAATTTCTCTCAATACCTGATTTAGGGGTTCCCTTGTCTTCTGGATTAGGTTCAAAATTACAAGGCAACGGAGTTGAACATTACTCGTAAACCTTGAATTGGGTCGGCTGTTCAATAACGGTTATGAAATGAAATAGAAGTGTTGTTCGTGAAATATGTCACATTTCACCTTACAGTGTTGTTTCTGATTATTAATAAAATACAATTTTGTTTCTATTCATTGAAAGCTATTCTCTTTATTCTTTACAAGAACAACAAATGTCAAGGTTTCAAACTGCTTTAGACTTCTTTTCAAAATTAAAAAAAGAAGAATATTATAGTACTTAGTTCAACGTTAAACCACTGTATTTTTTAATGAAAGTGATTTTTTCACCTTTCGTCCATGTCTTTCACTTATTAAGTGGCTGCTTTCGTTGATAAGAGTTAAAACCAGATTTAATCTCTCACGGAGGTTTTCGTTAAACATTGTCAATGAACCATACATATATGTTTCTGAACCATTCAATTGTTCCACATGTACAGTGCTAAAAATAAATAAATAAATAAATAAATAAAAAAAAAAAATTAAATCCGGACTGCACTGATTAACTTTTGATCTAATTATCGCATCTTTACGCTCAAGGACTCAATCTTAACGACACGAGGGGGTGACTTCAAATATGGCAATTAATAAGTTCAGACGATACTTTA